GTAGGGAAGCGGCGGGACGGGGCTTCCATCGGTCTCCCCGCTACGGTCCTACCGAGCAGGGGTGTCTGTGTGGGGAAAATCTAAGTTTATCTACAAGCACCAAGTCCCCTGGGAGCGGGAAGGCCGAGCTGTGGGGTGAGGAAACGGGGGTGGGCCCGGCCGCAGCCTGCGAGGCCCAGGCTGCCATTTCCCCAGGGGAGTTCCCCACAGCTTCGGTGCCTTGGCCTCCTCCAGGCTCGCCTACCGTCGGGGAGCCGCCTGGCCCGGGGCCTAAAGCCAGATCCCAGCCGGGGCCCTGCTCCGCTCATGTCGCGAGACCTGGCCCGGGATCCACCCCGGCCCCAGAGAGAATGAGAACAAATATGGGCTGGGCAGTCGCAGAGGGGAATTGGGTTTGTGAAAGCAGGAGTTGAGAGTTGAACCTTTAACCCTAGTTTTTTTTTTTTCTTTGCGTGTTTTCCACCCAGGATTTCCCCCTGCGCCTATCCCCGCTGCACTGAGGTTGAATGTGCTCTCCTGCAGAAGAGGCCAGCCTCCTGCAGAAAAGGCCAAGTTCCTACAGAAAACCCCAAGCTCTTATAGAAAAGCCCAAGCTCCTGCAGAAGAGGCCAAGCTCCTACAGAAGAGCCCAAGCTCCTACAGAAAAGTTAACCGTTACCAGCAACCCTCTGCTCACGTTCAGTCTCTCTCGGCAGTTGCTGAGCCAGGATGGGTTTTGCCGAAGACAAAGTGTACGACTACATTTTGAAAAACCTCAAGAATTTCAAGAACATCCGTGTGGCATCGCTGGCCGATTCCCTGAGCTGCCTGACCGATGCTGACAGAGTAATTTACTGCTTTCCCGAGTCCTGCCGGGCTCCTTCCCCAGCATATAGCTCAGGCAACGTATAGCTGCCTTGCCTCTAAGCCAGACCCTCTCTTAGATCCGCTGTCTGTTTTATTTAGGATGAACTTCACTCCCGGGAGGAAACGCGGGGCAGCCAGGCGACCGTCTATAGGTTTTACCAGCACCTGAAGTGCTGGAAGGGCTGGGTGCCGGATCTCATCAACGCGCTGCGCCAGAACAACGCGGGGCACCTGGCTGACGAGCTGCAGCACGTGTATGACTCCTGCCAAGCCCGTATGTAGCCTCGCCCGCCCTGGGTGCTGAGCCGGGGAGGTTCTGGTGGAGATGGGGAGCCAAACCACATCTCCTTGTGTCTGCCAAGCAGCTGGCCCCTCCCTACCCCGGCTTTCCAGGGATCTGGGGGTGTCTGTGACCGTCCCCGGGGGTGTTCCTCACCCTGCTGATGTGCCTGGGGATGGCGGGGTCCTTGTTCCAAGGTGCTTGGGTTGGCGGTGGGCTGGGTTTCTCACCTGGAGGGGAGATGGAAAGATGAATGAAGAGATGGTTTGGGGTTGGGAGATGGAAAGATGAATGAAGGGGTGCTGAGGGCTTGGCTC